AACCATAAAATATTTTCAGACAGTCCTCATTTCCCTCAATCTAAGCATGGGATGAATGTACTTACTGTATGCAAACATATGCTAATAAACCCTTTCAGTTGTCAGCCAGTGCATGCATGCCTGACTTCCCTGTAATACACTGTATATGGCCAAATCTACCAATGTTCCATAACAGAGGCATGATCTGCAGGAAAATCTCTGGCCTCAATAAAAATAAACCAAACTCCACTGATTAAAAAAAACAAAAAAGAAACAAAACAAGAATCTTCTGATTGAAAGCATGGCCTCCAGCTAAAAATGATGTGGAAGGCAGCTTAGAGTGTATGTACCATATAGCCAAAACTTTTTTCCCTTCATTTTGGAAATCTACCCAAAGGGGAATTCTCAGTTTAGAGAGTCACTAGAATATTTATTTCCACTAGATGATTTTCCCAAATCTCTTGCTCTTGTGACAACTCTAAAATTTTACAATTCACCTCATTTTCTGTCTCAGTGACAATGGTCATCAGGATAAACAGAAGGGTGAATCTGTCCAATGGAGATACAGGCAGCAAAAACAAAGAATAAGAAAATATGGCGAAAAAAGGTCTGACTATCGAAAACAAAACCGAAAATTTTATGCTTTTATATACACTTTAATACATCAGCATGGTAACAGAATACACTTATAGCAGAAATAAACTGTATCTGAGCGCCACAAACTGAAAATACTATTTAATTCACTATTTATATTCAAAGCAAGCTCACCCATCCATGCAAGTCTCTATGCTTTATTTTGCTGGGATATCACTTTAAACCCAGCCCCCCCCCCCCCCCCAGCATTCCTAGCTGCAGCAATCTTGAGTAAGGGCAGTTGATTAATGCTAAATTTTTTACTACCTGGAATTCATCTGCCCTTAGCTCAGGCATGCTGACAGGAGGGTGTGCTTGGCTGAGAAAACCCTCCCTCCAGATGAAGAAAAAAAAAGGTCTGTGAAGACTCCTGAGATGTATGATATCATTTTGGCCTAGGCCAGAAACCAGGAAGCAACTGAAGAAATGAAAATTAAAAAAAAAAAAAAAAGTTTAAAACAAGTAAATATAATACACCACCCAATCTATTTACTAAGGTTAGCAGTATGAGGAATTAAAAATAGTTAATGTACCCCATTCTAAAATGTGAAAAACTATTCTAATCGGTTTATGTAATGCAGCAACATCCACACATGTAGGACACCCAACATTAGATGTGATTTATTCTTCCAAAGCAAATACACTTTTGCACACTGGTACTGAGTAGTAATCCAGTGTTTCTCTTCTCCCTCAGTTTTTCTACATCACTCAGCTAATGTGACCCCAGCACTGACGGAGAGGGGCAAGGAAGGGTCAAAACAGGATGCTGTGCAGGCAACTGATCACCTGATGATGTCACTAGTTGTCAGGACGACAGCAGCTAGAAGGTCGTAATGGTGCAAAATGAAAACCTGTGATTTTGTGTAAGTAAGAGGCAGGCTTGGTCCACCCACTGGCTTGTATACAAGTTTTGGGCAATTTTTAGACATTTGCCAAGGCACCCCTGAAGAAACCTCAAAGCACCCTGGTTGAGAAAGGCTGATAAAGAGCATAAACATATAATGAGATCTGTTCATAAGAAGATACTGGTTGAGAATGGAGATGGTGGTGCAATGTCACTTGATTGGGAGTGAGCTGAAGGATTCTGCAGGATTATGCATTGCACCTAAGGCATATAAGATCTGTGGTTACAAACTTGCTGACTACTTTGTGGTGGAACATGGTTTGGAATTGCAAGTTTTGATCATTACTTGGACTGTCACATTACATTATATGGGTTTTTGTGACTTTTTAAATATCTTTTTTGTTATATGAAAATTTATAATATGATATGTTGAATTTGTAGGAGTATCACTTTTTTACTATTTGGTGAGTGCCTACCTTCATTTACTGCACATATATAGTAAGTGTAATTTCACTTAAAGGGGAAGTTACCAAGATTTCCATTTCCATGTTTTGAGTCTATTATCACAGGGATTGATTGGGTTTGGCGCAGTTTTTTATTTTTTAATTGCATAAAGATATAATGCACCCAAAAAATAAAAATCAAAGAGAGGATCAAGATACATCGTTTTTATCGAATGGTCAATCTAGTTCTGCCTCAATATAAGCTGATCTATAAAAAGGGACGGACCTGCCCTAAAACATTAAAAAAAAAAAATCTGGCAGCCTTGGCTGGATGTGGCAGACTCTTTCTGGGGGGATACTCTCTTATCACAACCACTGTCGCAGGGTTCTGTGGTTTGAGTGGTGGAATTTAAGTGTGAGTGATCTCTTCTGATGCATATGGGGAATGGATGGTGCAGGTGTTTGTGGCTGTTTGTGTCTGGTGTGTGCGTTTTGACCGTGTGCTTGACTTTTTTTGATTGTTGATCTGTTCTGCTGTTTTTTGTTTTGTAACTCTTACTGTTCTCTGTAAAAGGGCTCATGGCCTGGAATAAATTTGTTAATTGTTTCTGATCCCTTTCTGTGTACCCTTGCTTTTAGGTTTTGGGTCCCTATTATCATTTGTCTCTTTTTTTCTGTTACGGTTTGTGTTTTAGAAATGCAAAATAAATAAACACCTTTTTAAAAAAAGAGAGGAACAAGAGGGAAGTGACAAAGCATGGAAGAGTACATTAACGGGCAAAAATGAGCAGGTGTTTCAACAAGACTGGTAGCCAATAGGACAAGTATTCCTGGTCACTCTTACTGTATATAATAGCTACAACATTCTTTCTGAATTGGCCAATGTGTCCACATTTAATTTTTTTATTTAATAAAATGTCATATATCCATAGAAGTCCAATGATTTTTTGACTTGTGTTTAAGGGGTTAAAGTACTGAACTACCATGTGCACCCTGCAATGAGTATTACATGTACCTTTGCCTTTGATGAACTGTTCCTATCTTCACAGATGTCTGCATTCATCTGTCAGCAAAAGCATTTATTGCTCATTAATCATTCACCTACACTTGATGCAACTTCTTACTCTGCTCTCCTTGATAAAAACTTAAACCTGATAGCACAGTCATAACTTGTGAACTAACTAGAAAAGACAATATACTACATAAAGAAAATATAATCTGTTGAATATTATAAAACGTGATTGTGTAAATAATGCATGGTTATGAAAATACTGCAAGCATTAGGTCTCATGCACACTGCAGCTGTCAAAAGTCTGTTTTACGGGTGTTTGACATTTTTTTTCTGCCTCTAAAAACCCCTTTATATTTAGCCTATGTGTCCATGCACACATAGCTGTTTAGAGGCAGGGATGTTTAGAGGCTAGAGTGTTTAGAGGCAGAAATATAAATGAACTAAAATTGCATTCAAGAGAGGAGCTTTTAGGCAGAAAAAACACCCAACGCGTCTAAACGCATGTAAACACATCTAAACGCGCCTAAGCGAACTTAGCACTTGAGCGGTTTTTTTTTTTTGTCATTTCAATGGCCAGAATTCATTAAATATTGTGCATGAAGCCCTATGCTTTGGTAAACTAAGACTATGGTGATCATTGTGCTTTTGAGAAAGAACTTGACGAGGCTGCACATGCTAACTTGACATCACTTGTTTGGAAATTGTGTGATAGAATTAGTCATGCTGGAAGCGGATACAATCATATTCAGGTTTTAGATAAACAGTAGACTAATAGTGTTAGAAAAGTGCTAGATGAAGACTAGAGAATTCTAGACAGGATAAAAATTAGATAAATAATCTCCCGCCCTCTACAGCAATTTGCAGGCCAAAGTATGACAAAAGAGATTAGGCAAAGAATGTATAGCCAAACCAAACGCTGTGTTTACTATTTAAACCACCTAAAAAGAAAAACAAATAACTACAGATACTTGTGCCACGGCCATTATTTCACTTTGGAAGTCATGCACTGTAGAATACATTCCCTATAATAAGGCAAGGTTAATGGGAAAATTGTGAACACATGTCCTTCTTAAAACAAAATCACATTTCCTAGGCCACAAACTATTTCATCAGCTGCTAATGGACTCCAGATCAACTGGACAAAGAATCTCAGCCAACTTTATAATTAAGACATTTTCAAAGGTTTTCATCCAGAAGTGTCAGTGTTGGAGATCAGAAATGAAGCATACCTTTACGCAAATACCAAAAAAAAAAAAAAAAAATGAGAATCAGATTATCTTCTAAAGGAAGAATCTCAAATCATGGTATGCGGAGCAAAGATTTAAAAAGAAAGAAGATGGCATGTTATGGGTAGACAGGAGTGTCGCTCCTGTCTAGACCATTTCACTTTGGCACAGGTTTTCTGACCCTGAATTGGCAAAGTAAATAGACACCAAAAAAACTGTTTTTTGCCATTAATGCAACAGTAATGACAAGTTCAAACCTACTGAGTCACTTTTACAACACAAAGCAGTTTTGCTGGAGTTGGGCTTTAAATGCTAACTTCTCTTTTAGGAACGCACTACATGTTACTCATATTTAGGGCGTAACATGTTTTTAGGCACCAGCCTTCCACCCCCAGAGCCACCAGCCATTGCTGAGTACCACCGGAGTTGCAGGACCATGTGACCGGACCAGACTGAAAAAAGGTAAGTATACTGATCTTTTTTCTCAGGAATAGTCAGTGTGAACTCACAGGGTTAATTATCACTTTATTGCTAGGCAGAAAACATTGTTCCTGTGATAAACCTACAACATCCACTCGACTCGATTTACCAAGTCTTAAAATACCTTTTCCTTTTACTCTGCCTGCCTTCTGAATGAGACAAATTTCGAGCACTTACATAGGCAGCTCTGTTGTTCATAGTTTTGCTCACAAGAAAAGCCCCACGCATACCCACAATATTAGTCCAAGAGCTATTGAGGCATATAATGATGATGATATCAATAGTAAAATCACATATAGGACTTATGCTTGCTAACATAAGCCTTGCTTTCTTTTTAAGGAGATCAAGTTTAATAAATGCGCACATGATGATAAATTTGGTACCTTGGTCTGATTTGTAATTTCCTTATGTTTTTTCACCACACAATCAATAATATCACAGACTGTTTGTATCTTCCGTTCAGAGAAAGCATATTGAAGAAATTGCTGCTTTGTAAGTATAGGCTTGTAATGGAACACATCCCTGAGAACCTGCAGCAAAAGTATTGGGAAAATATGTTTTTATACATTATAATACAGAGTACAGAACAAACAAAGCAGAACTATGGCCTTATAGAAGATAATACAGGGGCTGTGGCTCTCAGCATGGTACCTGCTGATTCAAAAGGCTGTGGCTTGTCAGTCATCACCTGGCCACACCTAATTCTGACCACTGCTTTCTAAATTGACAGCACTGCCCTCTTACTGTGAGCTGCAGTGTCTGAGAGGGGGGAGAGTGTGAAACACAAAATTAAGGAAGATTTGGCTTAGTCAGGATATGTAAAGGAAGTTTATTGCTTACATTATGAGGCTTGTGTATTACATAGCAACTGGATTAGGGACATGTTCAGACTGTCATACAGGAGCTTTTAGTTGTAATTTAAAGACTGTGCAGACTGAATATTTTTATTTGTCCTTTATCAATGTTCATATATTTAATCCCCTGCACTCAGTTTTAATAAACAATGTTTTTCTGCTAACACCCCTAGCTGCTGATAAAAAAAAAATATCCCTCCTCCCTGTGCTTAAATAACATCAAAAGTGTATCAATGGCCTTTATCATTGTGCCCCATGTTGCTTAAAGGGGTGAAAGATGGCTCAATTTTTTTGATTAGCGAAAAGGCAGATCAAAAGAAAAAAAGCAGATTCTTCAATTCTCACAATCAAGGTGCATGTAGGAATCTTCTCCAGTGAGACATTGCATTCTGACAGCAGGAATAAAGTTTTCCAATATTCCTGTTTGATACACTTCGATCTTAAAATCGCCTTCTGTTGAACAGGGTGGCAATACATGGAGTGAAAATTCAGGTGATTCCCCCCCCCCCCCCCCCAGGTGATGCTAAAAGTTATAAAGACTTAATGAACATGCCATGTTTTAAAACTACAAATAAATGCTTGTTAAGTCTAGGGGGTTGCAGAGGAGGTTGTTTTACTTACCTAACTCCCTGCTCCAGAAGGCTCCCTCTATCTGCTTCAGAACTTCAGGAAGAGGAGGACACTGCCAGACCTGCTGGGGCCGGGAATCAGGTAAGCAATAAAGCCTTTCTCCAATAATAAACGGCCAATCCAGTATATGTTGTGTTGTCATCCAGCAATAATCAACACCGTGCTTGACTTGTGACCCCATTCCCTGCTCACCTTGACCACTGACCTATAGATTATAATAGGCCAAAAACTCGGGCACGAGTGATGTGAGGAACCATTTTGACTGATGGCTGTGATATGCTTTGATTCATTACTTTTGTGAATGCATTTTTTATTTGAATAAAGTGTTTACATTTGATGGGGTTGCACTATGATCTATTCTTTTTATGTTTGATCATATACACCTTAATTCCACTGGATATCCAAGAGCATGTTCCCTTAAAGGGCCAAAACGAATGAAGTAGCCACTAAGGATCGGCAGTGGATAAGTAGAATTTGGTTTCATCCCTAAGCATGTATGACCTATTTGTTAGGACAGGGAAGAAGGTGAGTGCATGGTGCACCTACCCGGTGATGAGAAACACCTCAATATAGTCGGCACGGTGGAGTAATGCATATATGTTCACTATAATTCGGAGTTACATATAATTTGTTTAATGCGAGTGGATACTGTAAGACGTTTAATTCTTGGTTATATAAAAACGGTGTTGCACTATGGTATGTTTTTGTTTTAATTTGCTCGGATCCGGAGTTAAAAAAAGCATAATACGTGGAAGGAATATGTCATGGATCAGAAATTTGGAGACACATTTTCCTTATAAAAGTGAGTTTTTGGCCTATTATAATCTATAGGTCAATGGTCAAGGTGAGCGGGGAGTTTGTGTCACAAGTCAAGCATGGTGTGATTCTGAGTCCTCAAAACCCGTCAGTCAGTTGGTCATCCAGGATTCCATCATTTTGGACTCAGATGCTATATGGATTGAACACCTTTGTTCATGGTGATGTGCCTGTGTTTTATATGTCCATTGTGAGTATAATAAATATTTTAAACGATAACGCACTAGCCCGGTGCGCCCTCTTTGTTTTTATTTTGCATTTTGTTGATTATTGCTGGATGATAACACAACATATACTGCATTGGACGTTTATTATTGGAGAAAAAAAATTTTCTTGGACTATCACTTTGTGTTTCTAAAGCTTATGGTTCTATTTTGATGAGAAAGCGCACTATACTTTTTTCATTTATTTAATTTTGAGTGTGAGTGAGTGCAGCAATCTTCTTCCCTGATATTATTACTATAGTTGGAACATAGGCGCATAGGTTTTTCCATTTGCATAATAAAGCCTTTCTGCAGCCTTGACACTTAAGCAGCATTTACCCCTTGCAGTGTGGAGAAGAAGCCCCGCTGCAAGAATATTCTTTGTTGTGCCCAGAGTTGGGCTTTAAAGTACCGCTATTTCTGTACTTCAAGGATAATTTTTAATATTGCTAAGACAAAGAACAGCAATATACTTTACCTTGTAAACAGCATCAATAAACCTCAAGTCACTCTTTGCAGAAAGTTCAACATCTAAGGACACAAGGATCTCTGCGATGTGCGTTGAATAACCAGTAAATGTGTAGCTGATAATGGGCAGCGATGCAGAAGGATCCCCCTTCACCAAACTTTAGGAAAGCATCAACAAACATAAAAAGAAAAAAAGATTAGGTGATGCTCAGTTTTCCTCAGGAAACTTTCACTTGTTAAGGAGTTACAATCATGGCCAAAAATATTGGCACCCCTGCATTTCTGTCAGATAATGCACCATTTCGCCCAGAAAATTGTTGCAATTCCAAATGTTTAGGCATGCTCATGTTTATTTTTTTTTGTTCGTATTGGTATGACACAAAAAAGTAGAGAAACAAAAAAGCCAAATCTGACACATTCCACGCAAAGCTGAACAAACTTATTGGCTCCTTCACAAAATTGAAATAAATAATTGTATTCCAAGTTTGTGATGCTCCTGTAATTTGTAAGCTGTATCAATTAACAGGTGCTGACAATGTAGAAATCACACTGGCAACCAGGTAAAAAACTGACTCAACCTTTCTGTTGTGTGTCTCTGTGTGCTACACGGAGCATGGAGAAGAGAAAGAGCAGCAAAGAATTGTCTGAGGATTTGAGAACTAAAATTGTGGAAAGGCTTGGACGATCTCAAGAGATCTCCATCTCCAGAGATGCTAAGGTTCATGTGCGCAACATTGTCAAGAAGTTTACAGCACATGGCACTGTAGCTAATCTCCCTGGACGTGGATGCAGGAGAACAACTGATCATAGTTTGCAACAAAGGATTGTTCAAATGCTGGATAAAGAACCTCGATCAACTTCCAGACAAATTCAAGCTGACCTTCAGGCACAGGGTACAACTGTGTAAGCTCGCACTATATGTCACAATCTGAATGAAAAAGAACGCTATAGTAGGAGACCCAGGGGGACCCCACTGCTGACACAGAAACATAAAAAAGCCAGATTTGAGTTTGTGAAAACTTACCTAAGGAAGCCAAAATCCTTTTGGGAACATGTACCGTGGACAGACTAAACAAAATTACAGCTTGTTGGTAAAGCCCATCATTCTTCAGCTTTCAGAAAAAGTGAGGCCTTTTAAAGAAAAGAACACAGTCCCTACAGTCAATACAGTCAAACATGGTGGAGGTTCACTGGTGTTTTGGGGTTGCTTTGCTGCTTCAGGCACTAGATATCTTGACCGTGTGTATGGCATTATGAAATCTGAAGACTACCAAAGAATTCTGGGGTGTAATGTAGGGCCCAATATCAGAAAGTTGGGTCTCCATCAGAGATCATGGGTCTTAAAGCAGGACAATGACCCAAAGCACCCATCAAAAAGCACTCAGAAATGATTTCAGGCAAAGCGCTGGAGAGTACTGAACTGGCCAGCAATGAGTCCAGATCTCAATCCCATAGAGCACCTGTGGAGAGATCTTAAAACAGCAGTTGGGAAAAGGAACCCTTCCAATCTGAGAGATCTGGAGCAGTTGGCGAAAGAAGAGTTGTCCAAAATTTTAGTAGGGAGGTGTAAGAAACTCAAAAAAAAAAAAAAAAAAAAAAAAAACAAAACATTGATGGTTACAGGAAGCCATTGATTTCAGTTATTTTTTCAACGGGGTGTGCAACTAAATAATAAATTGAGGGTGCCAACAATTTTGTCCAGTCCATTTTTGGGATTTTGCATGGAATGTGTCAGACTTGTTTTGCTTCTCCACTTTTTAGTGTCATACCAATACAAACAAAAGAAATAAACATGTGAATGGCTAAACATTTGTAATAGCAACAATTTTCTGGGCAAAGTGGTGCATTATCTGAAGGAAATGCAGGGGTGCCAATATTTTTGGCCATGACTGTATATCAAATTAGCAGCTATTACGTACAGTATCTTGCAAGTAGTGGAAACCATTACTTATTCAGCAACACAGTGCAAGCAGCATTGATGTTTGCAGTTTTATGAGATAAGAGATTTATTTCAGTTGTGTAATTGGCTGTTTGAAATTAAAGTGAGTACACTTTTGAGCCAGGGCAGCAAAGTATTCAACTTGGAAAATAATACTTGCACAAACCACCACAGCCTATCCCTAGTCCCAGCTTCAGCATCCAAAGTCAAAGCACCAAGAGAGGTCCATCGAAGCCACAAAGGAATCAAGATTTATGGAGTATTAGGATTCTGCAGTTTCCACATTGGAATCCGGCATGATCCAGTGCAGCTCAAAACAAAAAGACAGAAGTGTTGGATCCAAGCTAGAATAAAAACAACTCAATTATTATCCAACAACAAATAGCACACACAGTTAAAATCAGGTAGATCAGCATGGGAAGCAGGGGGCACCAGGACAGATACATAACCAGGCTAAGCTGAAGTAGCAGCAGTTCAGGTAGGTTTGAGAAAGGAGTTGTCCTTTAAAACCTTACCGCCCCCTATGCATTCATTGCAGAGGCTGCCACGAGGAAACAGCTAGGAGCTGAGGGTGCTGTCTATTGACATTTAATTCTGGCAGCTGTCATAGCAAAATCCCTGTATGCCAGCTATGAGCTCAGGAACTGCCACTACTTCAGATTAACCTGGTTATGTGTCTGTCCTGGTGCCCTCGGATTTCCACGCTGATCTACCAGATTTTAACTGTAAGTGTGCTATATTTTTTTTTTTACATAAATTAGTTGTTTTTATTCTAACTTAGATCCCGCGCCCCTTTCTTTCTGTTGGAAAATAATACTTGTTGCCTATTGTTTTCAACTTATATTGAATGGATCCTAATTGTCCAACGTGGCTAATAAAGAATCTTCCATTTTCTTGCCAGGTGAAACCTACAGATATAAGGAAATTCCATGTCTATGGGAACATTCCATAACAGCATGCTGACTGTTGAAGACTAACAACCTAACATCAAGCAAAATTTAAAGATTGTTGACACCTTAAGACCTTGTAAATGCATAACAGAACAATACAAGTAAAGACTATTTGTCACAAAATTTATAGGAAAACTATGGCCTTTCAGAAAAATGTATTGTTTTAATGTTTTGTTTTAATCCCTCTTCAAAAGTCCCCAAAATATCTGTTGAGTGGAGTTACTTTTACCTTTACAACCTCCTTTAGATCTTTACTGCTTCCTGTAACACCCTTTTCTGATAATTTCCTTTTACCTGTTTTTCATCATAAAATGACACGTAGAACAAAACCCCACAGCAGCAACACAAAATAAATAAATACACATTTTTTTTAGTACAGGAGGGAATGGTTAGAACCAATTCTAGCTTTCTACTGCTGTGTCCCTGCTTAGGCAGTCCCAAAAGAGACAATTTAACACAGATGTGCAGCACCATTTTTAGAACCCATGCGTACCTGGCCTGGAAGTGACTATGCAAATCACAATGTATAAAACTTCAGCTAGCAAAATTAAAACTTTAAGGCCCCTTTCAGAACAAGGGCTGATCAGGTCTGCCTGTCAAATTCTGAAGTGGACCTGATTGGATCTTCTATTCACCCCCTATGGAACGGTGGGTGTAAAAGGACTTTTGTTTGTTTACAGCCGCCTACCTTCAATCTAATCTGGTCTGTTAAAAAAAAAACAAATTGTAAGGAGATCCGTCTCCCTCCATCTAGGCAGAACAGATCAGAAGACAATCGGGTGTCAATGGACAGCAGAGTCTGTTTACACCTGCTGGTCCATAGAACAGAGAGGATTTGGTCCATGTCAGCTCTACATAAACTGAGCGGACATGGACCTGTCATCCACCCGCTTTGCTCTAAATGGAGCAACCCCCCCCCCCCCCCCGTGTGCAAGGGGCCTAAGATTTCATTAACTTGCTCTTTAGCACACTTGATACTATGTTTACCAAGGAAAACATTGGCTTAAAATGTTTAACTTCCACCTCTTGTTCCAGAACAACAGTCATAAACAGAGATAAACTTAAAAAAAAAAAAAAAAAAACCTCTTTTCCTTCTCAGCTATATTTAGACAAAAACTTCAGATGAACTTCTATTATCAAAAACACAATGATGTAAACCAGACATCCCGTGTACTAGGGAAAAGTTGTTTGAAATATCTCAACTGAAATTTTAAAGGAGAATTCTACTAAACTTTTACAGAGAGGTGCACTAGATGAGCATTTCCAAACTTTGCTTGTGTACTAGCACATGGAAAAGAGACAAAAAAAAAAGAAAATGCTGGTCAGAACCTGTAAATGCCATCTTATAATTATGCAATGAGACGGTAAAAAACATTGATCATTAAAGCTATCACATCAGCAAAGGAGGCTGAAAATGACTACCTAATAGTAAAATGTAGTAATTAGCAACACAAAGGAAGCCAAAAGGTCATTTTGTGGTGTTTCTACTGTTCTGATGTTCCAGGGTCTCCGAAAATGTAATAGGTAGTTAGGAAATTAGATGTGTAATTTATTTCCCAAGATTGCCTGAAGGTGCTCCTTGAATTCTGGGCCCCTCTATATGGCTAGGCTGTGAAAAAGTCTCACACATGTGGTATCACCATAATCCAGAGTAGTAGCAGAATGTGTTTTTGGGGTGTAATTCTAAATATGCCCATGATATGTGTGTGTATGAATATTTTATTCATTGAAAACTTTGCATAAAAAAAAATATTTTTAATTTTCTTTCTTTGGGGGGTATTTGTACTGTGTTTGCTATTTAGGGCCTCAGGAACTGAGAGAGGCTGTCAGTACATCAGGACTGATCAATTTTTAAATATATATCCCATACTTTGTAGACTCTATATCTTTCACACAAACTAATACCCACTGATTTGGGTTATTTTTGCCAAATAAATTTAGCATTTTGGCCTAAATGTATAAAGAATGATCATTTATTTGGAATAATTTATAAAGATAAATGTGTTTTGTTTTTTTATATTTTTTCGTTCATATAGCAAAAAAACTAAAAAACCCAGTGGTGATTAAATACCACCAAAAGAAAGCGCTGTCTGTCTCAAAAAAAATTATAAAACATTTATTTGGGTACAGTGTTGCATGACTGAGTAATTGTCATTCAACAGTGTGAGAGTGCTGAAATCTGACAATTGGCCTGGGCAAGAAGGGGATGAAAGTGTCTGGTATTGAGGCAGTTAAAATAACTGCTTTAAAAAGGACTACTTCAACAAAA